TACTGTATTACTTATATCAAGAAATAAAATAAAAAGGGGGGGAAAGCATACAGTATTATTTAAGAAATTCATCTCTCTTAGAATGACATATGTATTCAGAATCTTTTCTATTTCTTTAACCATATTCAAACAAATGTTTCTTTTTTAAATATTCTCTCTGGTAGATCCCATCATCTATTTTCTTAATTTTCACTTTGATCTTTTTCCTTTGACCGGTATCTTTCTTAATCGATGTGTTTTGCTGAATCAAAAAGTTTTTCCATATATTCATGACTGCTGCTATAGGTATAAGAAGTAAATCGAATGAAGTTTATGTGAGGCTTTTGCTTTTCCATGTTTCTTGAAAATGTTTTTCCCTTTCTCCTTCTTTGCTTCTCTTATCACTTCCTTTCTCTCTGATGTTTTCAACATCTCTACATTCCATTTTATCCAATCTGTTTTTTTGTCCTCAGATTTATTTTGTAGTCTTAAGGGATGAGTTGTTTTTGAATTTGAATTTCTGTTTATAGATGAGCACAATAGGAGTCCTTTGCTGCTAGAGTGTTACCCACCACTGCTTCCCTAATGCTTCCTGAACTCAGTTGGTATTTTTATGAGCCCATGTAGTGAAGCTACAGCTCCTTTAAGGAGTTCTTAACAGCTACAGCAAGGGTGCCCATAACAGATCTAAGAAGTCTTTGCTTGCTTTGGTTCCAATAGTGAATCGTATTAGTATAAACTAGTTTCAGCTATGTTTCTTTTTTTTTTGTAGATGTAATGCCCTTAATTTATATAGCTTACTTTTTTCTACTATTTATAACATTGCTTTTCCTGAAAAAGAATAAAGTGATGGGCGATGTAGAAAAATGGGATTTTTGTATGTTTTGTTGTCCTGTTAGTGCTTATTCCTGTAAAAAAAAAATAGGGCTGGCCACTAGGGGGCAGATTGGTTTTAAATTCAGAGAACAGCTATTTTATTGGGTTGACTTCTAGGAATTATTGCTCTGCTGTTTTAATAGGCTTCCTGGTGTTTCTTCTTCCCTATTGATGTTTCGCTTTTTAGAGAAAAGGAAAGTAAGTTTGGTCAAAGTTCATATTTATTTTACAACCTACTTTTTCTTCTAGGAAATATTTGTTCCTGTTCTTTGTTCCTTTGTTTCAGAGAAATGCATCAATACACCTCAAAAACCTTTCTGAACCATTCTGGGTACTTTCGGTCTTTTTACAACAGGACTATAGCTTTTCCACACCAAATGACTGAAATAAGTGGTTTACTGAATACGAGAAGTGAATTTTGGGTGAATTACAGTGGTAACTCTTTTGACATGAGTCAGGCTCTGGCTGATATAAAGCAGGTTTTCCTGAAGCAACTTGGACCAGGTCAGAGGTTTTTCAGATCTTTAGCATTTCAGAAGACACAAAACAGAGCTAGTCTTAGATTCTTTCTTAAGTATGGTTACAATTCCAGCCTAAATTCTGCATGAAAGAAATGGAACAGGCAGAAAAATGGAGAGGAGAGGATGCCTGGATGTGCCTAGAATTAAAACCTGGGCCTTCTTCATGTAGAAAACCCCAAGCGGTGATCCCTATGATATGTCTTCCTTGGTTGTTTCCTGTGACATTGCAGTTGGCCTTCTGTGTGTGTATTTGGGCTTTGTGGATCCTCTATAACTTGATGGTGAAAATAGTTACAATACTTGAATCTCTTCTCCTTCTTCCAGATATCTGCTCCATCAGTGTACTTTGGTTCTACAGTATAAAATGCCATGGAATTGTTTGGTTCCTCGGTTCATGGCCAAACTATTTTACTTGATAAGGAGAGGAGGGAAGCAAGCAGTCACATTTTCTAGTCCATTGGCTCCTTCCAACTGCGTCCTATCTGCATTGCAGTTTCTGTTTTATTGCAATGCACTTCCGATATTACAGGTTTTCTGAAAAACATTGGATAGTTATTGAACTGTTTTTGTAAAAACATGCCATTCAATCTTAGCAAAACTTCTAACAGAACCGGGTATCTTTTAAAAATGGCTTTTGCTAATTCCTAAGAAGAAATATTGAATATCTTGGGCATTTTTCAATGGAGAAATTATCACGATCCCTTAATGATGACTTGACTAAAATCAATGAAACCAATAGCAGATCAAAGTTTGCTTTATATTATCCCTCAAAGGAATAGAAAGGGGGAGGTGATGATATATTATTAGTTATACAAGAAATTGGTCTTTTTTACTTTTAGTACTTTAGTTTTCAGGAGAAGAGTGGAAAACACAAATACAAAGACACATATACAGGATTCAATTTCATTGATCATTTAATAAGAAAGATAGTATTTCACTGCTTACAAACTGCCCAGAGTTGATTAGAAAAAGTTCACAATGATTTGCTAGATTGTCCCGAAATCATCTCTTAGTCCTGTCACACCTTTGCTGATCTTTTATCTTGACTAGAGAAATCTGAGTTGTATGCATGTATTAACATCTTGCTCCTTATTGGGACTCTAGAATTTACATATAAGAGACAGTTTATACTGGGTTGCAAATTGCAGGAAGTCTTTGCTTAATGACCCTAATTGGGATTGGAATTTCCGCTGCTAACTGAAACATCATGTGGACGGACCATTGGCAACAACAGTTTCAGTAGTCCCAGTTGTAGTAGTTTGACCAAGATTTCACACTCGTCCTGCCCTGCCAAGCTCACTTCGGCCTCAACTCCCCCCCCATACCTTTCTCCCCCACCACCCCCGTCTCTGCCATTTTGACCACCCAGGGCTCCCTTGTTCCTGCACCACACCACCACCACCACTCCAGCCACCTTGTGCTCCACTGCCTAGCCCGCCCCAACTGACCTTCATAGTCTTCTTTCCTCCCACTGCTGACAAGGCGCATTTCACCGGGCGGTTTGCGAGGCAGCTGCTGCCTGCATAAGACTCTGAAGCTTTGCACAGCCTCACAAAGAGACAGGTCAGATGCACTTTAGCAGTGGAAGAAGAAGATGATGGTCAACGGGCAAGCAGAGCAAGGGCAGCAGTGCACAGAGCTGCCAAAATGGCAGAGATGGGTGGTGATAGGCACTCTCACTTAAATAATCTTATAGGGTGTAATTGCACTCTCAAGAACTCATTTGTGCCAGCTGCTTTATTTTATTACCTTTTACAAAGTCTGAAATATTTCCACAGTGGTCACTTACAGTGCCACACAATTGCATTTACTCCCTTTGAGTAACCGGGAGAGATGGGAAAGTTTTCCTTCTAGGTTTCTGTGGCCTCTGCTGCACTATGACCTACTTTGTATTGCTGGCTGGCTGGAAGAGGAGGAGGAGAAAAAGGAGGGGTTTGTGAACACCAGGTATACGAGTACACAGTTTGCTTTTTGAGTCATTCAGCACCTAATGCAAAAATAAGAAAAAAAAATCAGACTTATTCATGCCAGTTCATTGTTTACAAACTACAGATGGTTGTCAGAGTTAAAGAAAAGCCTTTTCGGTTTTATGTTTTCATACCTACAAACATTTGTGCTTTTTGTGGATTTTGCTTATGTTCAAAGGTTAGATTCAGATTTTTAAAATATACAGAAACATTGAGAAACTGGTTTTTTTTACTAGAACCAAGCATTTTTTAATTTGATTGTTTGTTTATTCAGTTTCACCCATTTCAAACTAGTAACTCTGGGCGATGAGCAACCAGGAAAACAATTAAAATACAGACAAAAAATTAAACACAAATAGCAGGCCAGAAGATACTATAATCTGTTGGCACATCTGTTATGTGACAACATAACCAGGGAAACAAGGCCCTTCACACACTCAGGATCCCAGGCCCAGGCTCATCACCAGGCCTTCAAGGCCTTCCAAAGGCCAACAGAGTCATTCTCTGGAGAAAGAATGTTCCAGAGGGCAAGCACTATGCCAGAGAAGGCCCATCTGGTCCCTGCCAGCCGACATCCAATGGTTCATAGGATCCAGAACATACCCATCCTGCTAGACCAGATTGGACAGATAGAAACAGCTGGGAGAAGACAGTCCCTAGGGTAATCCAGTCCCATGCTGTGAAGGGCTTTACAGATGACAACCAGCACTTTAAATTGCACCCAGAAGCACACTGGTGACCAGTGTAACCCCTGAGGCAGTGGTGTTTCATAAGCCGAACAGCTGACAGCATTTACAACCCTAAAATGATTAAACTATTGAATTTGCATCCAGAAAGTTAGCAACGATTGTCCGCTTGAGAGGCATTAAAAAGGTATTAGATAAATTTATTAACAATCAGGTACTAAACAGCTAGTAGTTAAGCCGATTCTGTGTTACCTCCAGAATCAGGAGCAACAGGACTAAACATCAGCTGAAGCTTCTGGATACTCCTCAAGGGCAGTCCTATTTAAAGCGCATAGCAATAGTTCAAACGGGATCACAAGGGCATGATGACAGTGAGCAGAGCCTACTGGTCCAAGAATGGGATAAAGGCACACAACCCAAAGGTGTGCACAGGCCCTCTAAGCCATGGCTACCTCCTACTCTTCCAGCATCAGCCAGGAGTTCAAATTCTGTTGGAGGAAGGAAGAAAATTTTATGAGGTAAATGTGACCCATTAACAAACAAAGGCAGCAGACCTACAAGGGCTTATCAGAGAAATGTAGAACTTGCTTCTGAGTAAAAATAAATGCTGCGCTACAGTATTACATAGAATCTGTTGAAATGCAGTTTTGATTGTAGTGATCTTATACTTTTATACTAGTGCCCTTAAGTTTTAACACACAGTTTAGTTTTTAAAATTCTAGTACTGTATCTTCACCACTTCCCAGCCACTTTCATCTGCTGTCTTCTGTCTGTCTTGTGCAGCCATTTGGCACTGAAATGCAAAAAGACTATCCATCTTTCTCAGCTTTGGAATCTGTGTAGAATTGGTGTAATAGTTAAAGTTTTGATTTTGATTATGGACTATAGATTTTATGTAATTGTGAGTCATCCAATGTCTAATGATTGTGGCAGCATACAATTTTTAGTAAATAAATAGTTGTATCTTCTAGGAATTGGTTTCACTCATTCTGGATGAAGAACACAGAAAGAGATTGACATCTGCATGCAGCAAGGACCTTCAGGATTTCCCAGAGACCCGTGGTCCAGTTATTTTGGAAGTTGGCTGTGGCTCAGGGGCAATTGGTTTAAGTCTTCTGAAAAAGCTTCCTCATGTAAGTGACATTTCATTAGATGGATTTTTTCCCCTTTCATTCAGTTGTGTCCGATTCTCAGAGGCTGCCCAGACAAGTACCTCAGTTTTCTTGGCAAAATTTTTCAGAAGTGATTTGCCATTGCCTCTTTCCTAGGGTTGAGAGAAAGCGACTAACCCAAGGTCACCCAACTGATTTTGTGCCCAAAGCAGGAGTAGAATTCACAGTTTCCCAGATTCTAGCCTGGTGCCTTAACCCATACACCAAACTATAAATAATGCTAACTTTGTCCTTTTTTCTTGGAGCAAAAATGAACAAGGAGAAAAAAGATGAGCCACTTTGACTTCAAAGTCCCATTTGAAGTTCTCTTCTTTTACTGAGTAAGCTGTATTACCCCCAGAATCAGGAGCAACTTGGTCTAAACACCAGTTGCTGTAGAGTAGGTCTCTTAGCCTATATGAAACTTGTGAGCTTGATTGCTGATTGTGTGAACAGAATCCTGGATTAGCTTTATCTTAATCTGGTTCAGCATGGTTCTTCTTGTTTTCTTAGAAACAGATTTGTGATCATACAAGAAAGTGGTTTGTTATAGCTTGCTAATCCTTAGTGCGATTTGCTTATTTAATAGGTTAGCACAGTGCATGGACATAGGGTAATTTGGAAACCATGGATTATGGCCTAGCACAGGGCTATCAAATTCAATTTCATTGAGGGCCGCATCAGCATTGCGGTTGCCCTCAGGGAGCCGGGTGGGTGTGGCCAGGGTGGGTGCGGCCTACTGGGTGGGTGTGGATGGAGTGGGTGTGGCCTACTGGGTGGGCATGGCCAGCTCTACATCATTCGCGTCAAGGGTGCCTGTCGGGGCCTGGGCAGGAGTGGGACAGATCTGAGGGTCTCTGGTAGAAGGGGGTGGGACCGGGACAAGCACCAAGGCATAGTCCATTTCTTCATTCCTCACAAAGGGTGACACCTCCCCAGCATGCACCTAGGGGGTAGGGCCGACATGGCAGGGGCTGGTTCCTCGCTGTTTCTAGACAGCCTTGTGGAGCTAAGACTGAATGTGTTTCAGCATAGATGGCCACCACAAAATTATACATTGGCTCCTGGCCGGCCTGGGCCAGGGCCAAGGCAGCAGGGGCCATTCCCTCACTGTTTCCAGGATGGCTTCGCGGACCACATGAAATCACTTCGCGGACCGTATCCGGCCCCCGGGCCTTGTGTTTGACATGTCTGGCCTAGCATGTTGCATGTTCCCAACAATCAAAGTTTATTCTGTTAAGCAAGGTTTATACCATTGTACAATTTTACCAGAAAGCACATGGAAAGCCATAACCAGGTAAAATTTGCTACGGATAGTTTGCATTTTAAAAGTGTATCCTTCCCTGATATAGATTAACAAAAGGTCATTTCTAAAACATTTAGCATCGCTCACTTCGAATTGCTTTTCCCCAAGGATATCCTACTGTGTCTGAGAAATGTTTTCATGTTTGCTTTTATTATGCTTTTTCTCTTTTGTTCCTAGAGTCAGCTCATTGCCATTGATAAATTAGAAGCGGCTGTTAATCTCACCAAGGAAAATGCTGAACGGTAAAAATCTTTTATCATGTATATTGCAGTGAACACATTCTTTGAATTGGATCCTTAAGTAGCCAAAACAGCATTCTCTGGGGGATAAGAAGATTGTTGCCAGAAGGTTTGAGAAAACCCAGGATTTGCGAAAAATAACTGGAGCTTCAGACAAACACTCCATGTTGTTGTGCTCTGGTTTGTGCAGTTTGTGTGTTGATCAAGTATCCCATAACACACCGTGGGACTCATGAAACAATGCAAAGAATAAGCATAGGTTTTGCTATGTTTATAAATTTCGTTTTATTATTATAATAACAGGTCATCTTTTCAAACATTTGATGCATCTGGTACTCCAGACGTGGCAGCAGTAATCTTTCCCAATGGAAGAACTTCTTCCTTGAAAGAGTTAATTGAACATTCTCATGAACATTGCAATAAAACTATCAAACAATTTGGTTCCATTTAAAATTTCAAGAGTGTAAACTTACACTTTAAAAAAAAGGAAGTTGAATAAACATTGAAAGCAAGAGGCTAGAAATTTTCTCAATCTTTTGGACACATTTCAAAGAAATACGTAGGGGGAAATATTGCATCTGTGGTATCTTAGCTATTTCTCAACAGTTTATTGAAAGTTACTGAACTTACAGACCACAACAGATGGGTTGCTTTCTAAATTTCAGACAGTATAGAGGCAGAGGCTTGGTTTTATAAATACTTCAATGACTAAGGCGTCTAAAATGAGCAGTCAGAAAACCACCCCATAATTATTGTCTGATTTTTTTTTTAAAAAAATGCTAAATTTAATTTATCAAGATTTTTGAACAAGACTGTAGGCCATGGTCCACCTAAGTCATTTTGGCCAAATTAAATTAAATTAGTCCTCACTTGCTGACTGTTCATTCAGTGACTGTACAAATAGTGCTGAAAAAGGAGATTTATAACTGGTCCTTCAACTTGGAGCCATTGTAGTGATCACATGATTTCAATCAACACACATTTTCAATGGTCACAGCGTCTCACAGTCACATGATCACCTTTTGTGACCCTCATAGCCAGCTTCCAATAAACAAAGTCAATGGGGAAATCAGCACAAAGACACAAATTGTGGTTACGTGACACCACACTTAACAATTGCAGCTGGAACTGACTGGTAGGTTGGGTGCAGTCACATGATGCTTCACTTTATGACTGCTTAGCAATGGAATTGCCAATTCTTATTGCAATCAATAAGTTAGAACTACCTATACTGATTACAGTCAGTTAGTCAATATATATGACAGAATGAGCGAAAGGAACAATATTCATCTGGCTTGTTTTAATCTCATTGGCATTAATTTTTGAAATAAGTAGTTTTTTCTCAGTATCATAAAATATAAATGTTCAAAAGGAGTTCTGGTATCTTCCATAATCTACTGTTTTTTGGGCTAACTAAACCAATTGAACACCTCTTCATACACGTTTCCTTCCATGCTGTTTTTTTGGGGTTGCTCTTCTGGAAATAGGCTTTAGATTTGTCCTAAAATTTATCCTAAAATGCAGTATGCAGTATTCCAGATACAGTATGACCAACACAGAATAAAGAGGAATGATAATTCCTCACCTATACTTCTGTTAGTGCATTCATACATATTTGAAGTAATGCCACAATAATTGAAAGACTGTTTTGTAATACCAGTGCCTAACTATGGGAATAGCAGAACTGTAGGATAACACAACTCTGTAGGAGAACATCAGTTCTGATTTACAAATATAATTAACTTTTCTGTTGTAAATAAGCAAAATAATTCAAAACTGCTACAGAAAGAAAAGTCTGTTTATTAAAAGTCATAATAATTTAGCAAAGAACTGTTACACAGAATGCAGTGGAACACATGTGTCTCCTGAATTTAATAACCAGTCCCCTTAGCACAGCTCTCTCTGCTGTCATTTAGTGCTCAGCTGAATTGGAGCAATAAAATGCCAAAGCAGCACAATAGAGTATATGCTTTATATGCATTTGGGGCTATAGCTGAGGAAATACATTTGCCTGGAAACTGAATTCAACAATAGTGAACAGGATAATCTAATAATCTGACTTGACATAAGGCAGATACTCATATTTCTTTTTCTTTCCGGCTAAAAACTTGAAGCATATTCAGAATTGATCTTACGTGAGCCTACTGACAATAATGTTGGGCAAATGTATAAAGCCTTTGTGCCCAATACTGTCCTCCGGAATAATACAAATCCTGCAGAATAAGAGTGAAGATCTCCTGCTAGCCTACTTTGACTTGAAAATGCCTTGCCTCCTTTGCCATAAAAAAAAGTAACCGGTCAGGAAAACAGGGGCAAGAGCAAGCACAAGCAAGGATTTTTCCACATATATATATTTTTGCCCCCTTCATTGTAAAGTCATTGAGTTTTCTCAACTATGTAAAAATGCAACCTAGTTCTAATTCCAGAAGCATCCCAATTTAAGTGGGGCTCTTTCCACCAATAACCTGAAGTCCTTTCCCATAGAAATTGAGCTAGAAATTCTTTCCGTGCTATGTACGGGAAGCTCTGTTGAGCTATGACCTCTTCTCTTGTGCCACTCTTATGTTTTAACATTGGTAGCCAGAAATCAATGCATTAGCATTTGTTGATGGGTGGTGCTTTAATTGTTCATGGATGTAAATTCAGTAATGTTTATGAGTGTTTTCCTCATCTGCTCATACCTGTAGAAGAGAGAGTGTAACTGTTTTCCATTCATGGAAAACCCCAATTTTGAGGAAGGCCACTGCTTGCTGCTGCGCTTCTTATTAAAAGGGGCGCCCTCATGCCAATGGAAATTATTCTTCCACTTACAGGCAGAATAACCCACCTGTAAGCGAAGCCCCCCACACACAAAGTCCTTTAATAAAAGCACAACAGATCTCTTTCCAGGATGACATAATCAGTTTGCACTAAGTTTAATATTTATATACTGTGCTGAATGATTAAATCAGATACTTGAATGTCCCCACCCTTGCTCTCAATCTAGGTCCTCTTTATTTTGAAGTGTAGGCTGGAAGGGAGCATGCCAAATGACGTATTTCTTATTTTGTATACTCAGCAGTTTTAATCTCAGCATAATTAGTCTGAATTTCTCTGGTGAATTAATAATGCACGATGCTTGTTTTTACTGCTTTAGATTGATATCACGTTTTATATCATGACTAGAAAAAATTGATTACTAAGTTATTAATAATGTCAATGGATAAAAACTGAACCATGTTAATACATCAGGTAGTTTTAGAAGAGGAGATGCCATATTTTTCTTACTTAGGCTTCATGTCTTGCGGATTACTGGTGCTCAAGGTAAAAACCCAAATTTTGTGTGTTACAGTTTGGCAAATTGTCTTCAGAGCTGCTATTAGCAGAATCTGATAAAGAGTTGCTGGTGGAAAATCAACATGAAACTTAACACATTCATCTTTTTTAATTTCTAGCTATAACTTTGCCAAACTCATTTCCCTGCAGCCGTTTCCCTGAGACCAGCATGTTAAGCCATGTTATCTTCCAATCTAAGACAATTATAGGTTTGTCCTGCATGTGAAAATGTCAGTGTCTCCCCGTGGGCAAAGCAAATAAGAGTCATTCTCTGCTAATGGGATGCCCCACCTGAATGTCTCAAAGACGTGTGGTTACAGAATAAATTTTCTGTTTTGATCCTATTTTCCTAACTATGATCTGCCTTAGGCTTAAGAATCTTCGATAGTCATATCTGGGCACGGCTGTGGAATTTGACATCTTTTTCTCAAGAACTCTGCTTCCAAATCACTTATAAATCTAGTAAACAATGCGTAATCCAGAATGGTGCCTGGTGATACACTACTTAACACTTTCCTTCAACTTGACATGGAGCCATTGGGTGCATTCATTAGGCATGATTGTTCAAACCATTTTTATATCCATCTAACAATGAAACCTACATTGTGCTATCTTTACTGGAAATCTTTGCTGATGGCAAACTACGTTATGTCCATCACATTTCCTTGATCATCTAAACTGGTCACTATCAAAAAAGATCAGGTTGTTTACGAATGGTTTATCCTTAATGAACCCACATTATTTACTGCCAGTATGCATTTCTTTTTTTAAATGCTTATAAAACAATTACATTATAATCTGCTCTAGAATTGTTTAAAGTTACAATGGACCTCCCCAGAGCTATTTGTAATCCAATTTTGGAGTTCCAAAAGCTACCTTCATGCCTGTGGTCATTGTGGTTGTATTTTGGGCACTTGGCAACTGGCCTGCATTTGTGGCCTTTTATAGCATCCCTCAGGCACATGACCATGATTTTTGGCAATTTGTTTTTGCCAGAAACTGGCATTTACTTCTCATTTCCAACAAAAAATGCCCATTGGGTATAATGGATTTGCTTAACAATGGTGGGGTTCACCTAACAACTACCACAAAAAGGTCATAAAATCAGATGCGGTCAACCGTGATCCGTTTAACAGCAGCAATGGTTTATGACTGGAATTCCAGGTTCATTTATGGCTGTAGGTCAAGGACTACTTGTAGTTCCCTTTTGGAGAAGACCAGAGCAAAGCAGGCATTGAGAAGTCCTGCCCTCTCCCCATCGCTTGTTATCTTCTTACAGCTTTGAGTTCACCTCTTCCTTTTTCTTCAATTTACATAGCTAAAAATGACCTTTTTGTTGTTTATCATTTCCTTTGCCAGGTTAAGTTCCTTTTGTAGGATAAATGTTCTTTCCGCAGACGTTACCTACTTGCTAGTACATATCTTTGGTAATTTGGCAATTACATCTATATTCAAATGCCATGATGCATCTAGATCAGAATTGTGCAAGCAGTGGTATTCCCGGTGATATTCTATAGAAGTGAAGGTTGAACTCGAAGGAGCAAGATAAGCAGAGTATTAACTCTTGAACTTTGATGTTGGAGAAGACTTCTAAGAATACCATGGACATCCAGGAAAACAAAACAAACAAACAGATCATTAAACAAATCAGAGTTCTCATTGAAGGCACAAATGACCTAGTATGAACATGCTGTGCAAAGGCCTAACTCTCTGGAGAGAGAGAGGGCTCTAATGCTGAGAAAGATGGAAAGAAAAAATAGTAGTAGTTTATTAATTGATTCATCTTATGACCACATAATATAAAATAACAAAATACAGAATCTAATTCCAGAGTAAAATAGATAAAAGAAAATACAGTAATAAAATACATATGGGATAAATACAAAAAAATTCAGATAAATATCCCACCTTTACATGATACCCTGATTTGTTCAGGTTCTGAACTGAAGTGCCTTAACTGTAAACTTAGCACTAGAACCTAGGAGGAAATAGGATAATCTGCAGTTCGGATCCCATTGGGCTTTTCTTTTAAGTAGTGAGGTTAAATAAACTAGCTGAGGGAGCCAGCGTTGTCCGAAGACGCTTCTGTGGTCATGTGGCCAGCATGTCTATACACCGAGGTGCAAGGAATGCTGTTACCTTCCCACCGAAGTGGAACCTATTTATCTACTTGCATTGCATGCTTTCAAATTGCTAGATGGGCAGGAGCTGAGGCAAATAACTGGAGCTCACCCTGTCGTGTGGTGCTCGGGTCTCAAACCCAGGTTGTCATCTTTCCAGCTGACAAGCTCAGTGTCTTTCATTGCTGGGCCATTGTGCCCCCTTTAGTGAGGTTAAATATCTAAGCCTAAAAGCGGCATACAGTTGACAGTTAAACAAAACATGATACATCCTCTCATGATATGACGTTATGGGAGCACCCATATCTGGCCATAGAGTCCAACAACTCAAATCTTGCTCTAGGACAGGCCCTTGTTAATAGTTGTGTCAAATTCATTGCCAGGTATCTTGGAAAATAGTTTTTTAATTAGCCAACCAATGTAAACATCTATTTTTTGCTAATAACTCGATGCCAGTTTGAGCATTGATATTTAGGACTCTGTTTAAAAATATCTCTTGCCTGGGAGGCAGTTGAGAGTAAAAACTGGGTGGAAAAGTAATGTTGTGAAATAACTTTGGAAAGTCAGCTTATCCAGGAATTGGGCTGAACCATCCTTAACTATTCCGCTAAACATATTTAGTCTATCAAGATCCATTGAATGGATCTTCTGCCAGCATGTGAAAATTTTAATTATTTATTGGTTATGTATGGAATGGATACCTGTTCCTGCTCTGACTGTAGGGGTTGAGATGTTCTTATCAGTTCCCAGTTTGCTTCTTAAAAAACAGGTGTGAACTTGATCAATAAAGATAGCTTTTGTAAGGCCTCACAAGTCTGCACCATAAGTTGGCATCAGAACTATTTTTGGCCTGAATACTTTCAGGGATTCCAGATGTCTAGTTAATTATAATTAAATACTTTACATAATATTTTAGTGCTTGCCTTAGCCCTTGACAAATTTCATTTTAAATGATTTGCTCACAACTATGGGTTGATAAAAAAAAAACACTCCTAAATGAGTAAACAAATTAACTTGTTCAATAGGCTCCCCATTTATCTGCCATTTATATTCCACGCTTTTTTAAAGTAAATGTTAGATTTGGTTTTATTGATGTTTAAAGGATTAAGAACACAGTAGGCATTTAGTTTTCACAACAGTCTCTTCAGCCTATTTGATAATATGCCATTGGAATAATAATGTCAGCATATAAAAGAATGTTAATAAATTTATCATGGATATTCAGTATATGAGTGTCTGAAGGAATCCTGGAATATCATTGACATAGAGAAGTTAGATGCATTGGGGCTAGAATAACATCATTATGAGTAGGTATCCTCTTAGACAACCATTTACACTGTGAATCTAGAAAACTTAAATTATCCTACTGTAACCTGAGTTTTATGTTTGTGCATTATCATATAAATGACTTAATCTGATCCTCTAGAGACCCCAAAAGAAATAAGGGAGACTCACAACTGGTCTCCCTGTTCTATAAATGCAACCTCCATATTTTAGGAAGTGAAGAAACTGGTTTTATATATCTTTCTACATGCCATTCAGGAAACTCTAGCAGTTTAATTTTTTAAGATTATATATGTGTTATGCAAAACAAGTCTAAGCTGTTTACAGACATCAAAACCCACGTGAGGGAGGATAGTGATCATCAATTGATAACAATTTAGTTCCAAGGTATATCTGATACTACTGTAGATTACCCATGTGGAGAGGCTACTAACTAATCTGGAAGTGAGGCAAAATAGAAGATTATATTGGGTCAAGTTTGGAAGGAAAGAGAAGAAGATGACCAGAAACAATGTGGGTAGAGTGATTTACAGTGGCAGTGAGTGCACTGTTGGAAGACGAGGTTAGAGACGGATCATCATGAAGAAAATCTATCTAAGATTTTATAATAGCCATCACCAACTTGATAGCACAATCAAACATCCTATGTACCCACATAGTGTCTGGATTCTCTTTTCTGGCCCCCATTGGATCCAATTTAAATCAAATTTGCCAGGTGCCTTTTGAACATGTTGTTCCCAGTTCTTTTCAAGAGTAACCCACATTTGTTAGAAGATCTTCATTTTTGAAAAATGTTTTTACAAGAGAATTGAAACAATTCGCATTGGCACCATCTCTATATCCATGTGTTCATTTCTAGTATTCTCTCTTTTCTTGGACCATGTTCCTCAATCAAAAAAATGTGAATAAAACATTTGTATTCTAGTTCCTTCAGTGCATTATTGTCCCTTACAGTATCTTCAAGAGGGTTTATAGTTATGTCATGCATTCCCATATGGATTTCTAGAAAGGAATATATGTCTGTGGCCTTAAAACATCTTGGGAGCCTTTCTGTAACCTTCTGAAGGCATGCCACAGAAAGGCAGCATACTTCTTTCAACAACTTCTGACAAACAGATTGTTGCTTCAGTCTTTCTCAGAAAGGAACCTGTAATTATGACAACCATCTATCATTGCTCCAAGTTGAGAAAACAGGTAGGAATTTTCTCTTTGCAGAATCCTCTTAGTCTTTATTAACAACAGTAAGACCCTGGAATTTATTTCTGAGCTACTGGGTATAAGAACTCTTCTTGTCAGGCTTGAGTCTTTGTGTCATGATCCTCTATCTCTCTGTCCTTGACCTCAGCTCCAAGAGTTGGAGTCTTCTATCTTTTGGAAGGTTTCTTGATGCTTCTCTGTCAGTGTTCCCTATATCCTATACAACAGTGGTTCTCAACCTTTTTAATGCCACGACCCCAACCGGTCGTAAGTCAAGGACTAAACCGGTCGTAAGTCGAGGACTAAACCGGTCGTAAGTCGAGGACTAAACCGGTCGTAAGTCGAGGACTACCCAACCGGTCGTAAGTCGAGGACTTTCCCTGCCCGGGAGCACCGCGCATGCGTGGTTCCGCCCCCTGCGATGGCCGAAGCGTAGCTGGCAAGCGGCAGAGACGGAGCAGGCCGACCACCAGCTGGCCCAGCCCAAGGGAGGTAAGGCACCCGCTGGAAAAGGGGGGAAAAATGGACAAAAAAAATGGCGGACAGCCTTGCTTGGCGACCCCCGTGAAATGGTCGATCGACCCCAAATGGGGTCCCAACCCACAGGTTGAGAACCACTGCTATACAAGAATCCACAGATAAGGTGGAAAATGAAAAGTTTTGCCACTAGACTTTTTTCCCCTTTCTTTTTTTAGTAGTGCAATTAGCTGTACTTTTAGCATGTAAAGACTTTGTTGACTTCATAGAAGAAAATAAACATAATGTGCTTTGCAGGTTCCGAGAGCAGTTCTCTCCATGTTTTTCTGAAGAAGAGTAAAATCAATAAAAATTGCTTCATCTGCCAAGCTGGTTGCTCTCCTGTTTGCTCCCTTGGTGAGCTGAATAGGGTCACAATAACCCTGGGAAACTGATGGAATGATCTGAGCAAAAGCCTCAGGGTTTTTTTCAACAATCCAAATCAAACATATTCTGCAAGTCTGGCATAGCCCTGCACCAGCATCAGCAATACCGGGCTTAAGTTTATAGTTTCTATTGGGGTAATGTATTGCATCAGCTTGGAAGATGGTTTGAGACCCACTGGGGTGTTCACACAGCTCCTACATGCAGTTTCTTAAAGCAGTTGTGTCTTTTGTCAGGATTAGATGGTTGAGTTATTTGTAAAAAAAAAAAAAAATAGTAATAAAGGCGGGTTACAAATAGAAAAAAAAATCTCAGGAAAATTTGAGTTTGTTGCTTTGGAGTAATAGAAAGTAATTTGTGCTCCTGCACAGTGCAGCTATGCACATTTTCAGGGCAGGTGAACTGTGGACTGCATGATTCTAAAGCAGTGTTTCTCAACCTTGACAATTTTAAGGCATGTGGACTTCAACTCCCAGAATTCCACAGCCAGCAAAGCTGGCTGTGGAATTCTGGGAGTTGAAGTCCACATGCCTTAAAATTGTCAAGGTTGAGAAACACTGTTCTAAAGTTACAGTAGAATGGAGATGATTAAGTATAAATTTAATTCCCTAGATATATGTAGTTATAGATACACACCCATGCACAAAAAGCCTCTTTAGATTTTTGATTTCTAGTCTTCCTTAATTGTTGTCTGCCATCATAAGTTAAGACTACTTATGGTTAAGTTTTATGTTAAGACTACTATCAGATGTGCTGCGTATGAGAAAGGAATTGAGCAAAAGTGGCTCATGTTTCAAAACAGGGATTGCAGTAATGTGTGCAACATTTCTTGCATAATAAAAGTACATAATTGACGGGTTGCAGCAACCTCAGGTTATTATGTTTTGATTCAGTGCTATGGAGATCTGTGCAATGAGTTATTATGCAATCAAAAATGTTAGTTAATTTACTATGATTGAGACCACTGTTAAAACTAATCATAAGGTGATAAATGAGATATGTGTGTAAATCAAAGGTATTGTGTCAAATCTTCTCTTTATAGGTTACATCTACAGGAAAGAATCCATGTTTTTCACCATGATATATCTTCATGTAAGTTCATATATTTAATTGTCCCTTGTAAATGGTTTGAGAGAAGAACATTCTCTTACAAGAATGTACAAGAAAGCTGAAAAGGTCTTTAATCTACTTAATCACACAATGACTACAAAATGAAGTGATGGCTTCAGAATCTCCCCAAAAAATTTATTCCCCAGTATATGCTCATAGCTTGGTACATGTTTTAAATACATGTAGAATGTTTTTCTACTATAAGGTCAGGCTGCACATTTTTCTGTGCATTGTACAGTGTTAAAGAAAAGAAATAAGCATGGGAAGTTCTTACGTACAATTTTGTAAGTGTAAAATGTGCTCAGAAATAGCGCTGGGCTCAGAACAGAAACATTAGGCTAGTAAATGAGATTAAGCACTGGGAATTTATCTTGTCAGTGATGTATAAACAGCTTCTCTGGCTGCTGGTCCATTTCTGAATGCATTCCCAAGTGTAAATGCTTACTAGTTGAGATGCACAGTCTTTCAATTTAAATTTTAAAAAGGTGTTTGGACTGCACTGGCATGTGAACGAATACCATTTGTCCATAACTAACTGTCTGTCTGTCTGTCTGTCTGTCTGTCTGTCTGTCTGTCTGTCT